TGTAAATGTCACAATGTATCCCTGGTACAACTAAAATATGCTGATTTAAAAAATTAGCCCCCAAAATCCCCTCTTGACTCATTTCAAATTTAAATGTTTTATAGTGCTTTGAGAGCTATGGAAGAAATAATGACCAGATGATCAGCTGGATTTTGTTTTATTTTACTGTATTTTTTGGTGCTGGGCAATGAACCCAAGGCCTTGTGTATATTACGTAGGTGTTCTACCACTGACCTACCCAGCTCTAGATAACTAATTTGTGCGTGTGTGTGTGTGTGTGTGTTCTTAAGACAAGGTCTCACTATGTAACCCAGGCACTGGCCTTGAACTCATGATCCTCAAATTTCAGCCTCCCAAGTGCTGATATTACAAGGATGCACCATCACACCTGGCTCTAGATAATTAATTCTTAGCTAGGAATCAGCATGGGAGTCATCTCAGCAGCTTTTCCAAAATACATGTAACAGAACACCTGGCCCTGGAGATTAAAGGCTGACAGAGTGGTTCAAGTGGTAGAGTGCCTGCCTAACAAGTGCGAGGCCCTGAGCTCAAACTCCAGTACCACACAAAAGAAAATGTAGATTCTTTTTTGGCAGTATTGGGGATTGAACTCAGGCCTTGTACTTGCTAGGCAGCTGCCCTAGCATTTGAGCTACACTCCAGTAAGAGTTAAGAAATCTGAATAGCTACTTTCATAGAAACTTGAGAAGCTACTGCATCTACTACATAAGAGGAGATTGCTGTGAAAAGGAAATAGAAAAGTTACTGGAATTTAAAATGAGACTGCTTATAAAAGTGACAGTGAAAAGGCTACATTAGTGAACTGTGAGATAAAGAGGAAATCTTCCAAAACAAAGAAAATACATCAAGACACCGAAAAAGTTAAGATTCTGGTATCAGAGGAGGTCCAGCATTCATTGAATAGAAACTTCAGAAAATGACAGAAACAGAGACAAGAATAAAATTACCTTGGGTTTAGTCCCCAGCAATGAAAAAAAAATTTTTTTAATTTCCTGGAGTGATGATGAAAATTAATTTTCAGACCCAAAGGGCCTACGATGTATAAAGAAGGAAAAATGAAAACTATCAAAAAAAAATAGGTTACCCATAAAGGAATGTGGCTCAAATTGGTGTCAGATTTCTCAAGAACACTGGATGATAAAAGATAACATTGCAATGCCTTAAAAGTGTGCTTTTATGTGCACTACTGTGCTTTAAATGGAGTGGGTGGATCCCAATTTTGGCCCTAGAATTCTAAACCTAGCCATGGTATTTATCAAGGACAAAATATATGCATTTTTAGACACACAAAAGCATTAGTTGCTTTTCATTCAGTGTTTCTGAAAAAGTTACTTGAAAAATAAATCCAAGAAACAGATGCCTTACTAAAACAAAATACACAACCAAACAACATGAAACAGCAGTGGAATCTAGAAGTGCATTGGGAGGAAATAGTAGCACTGCTTTGAAGCACATTTAGAGAAGTAGGTTCTAGGGAGAAGAAAACATTACTGCAGTGTGCTACAGATAAAATGGAGGCATGTGGCATGTATTCCCTTCCATCAATGACAGTGCTATAGTTGGGATCTATCTCTTTCTCTCTCCCTCTCTCTCTCTCCTCTCCCTCTCTCCTCCCCCTCCCAGCAAGTGCTCTACCACTGAGCACCCCCAGAAGACGTAGTCAATCCAAGGCACTATTGGGAGGTGGAGGAAGGGCTTAGTGGAAGGATATTAGGTCATTGGGAGTATGTCCTTGAAAGGGATATTAGGATCCCAGCCCTTCCTCTGTTTCACAGCTCCCATGAAGTAAACAAGTCTCCTCTACCTTGGGCTGCTGCTGTGTGATGTACTATGCCACCACAGGTTTAAAGCAAGAGGTCTAGATGATCATGGACTGAAAACATGAGCCAAAATAAAACTTCTTCCTTTTAAGTTGATCATTTCAGCTATTTTGTCACAGTAACAAAAGTCTGACTAGCAGGAATAGAAAAGATAGACACTTCAGGAAAGACCTACATCTCTATATGAAAGTCCTGACTCCTAGGAAATGTTATTAAAATTTTTGGAGGGCAGTACTAGGGTTTGAACTCATGGCCTTGAGGTTGCTAGGCAGGCACTCTACCTCTTGAGCCACTCCCCTAACCCTATAATTTCTTGATTTCTATTATTTAATTTGTTTTTTTTTTGGTGATACTAGGGTTTGAACTCAGGCCTTTGCACTTGTTAGACAAGTGCTCTACCACTTGAGCCATGCCTCTAGCCTGGTTGTTCATATTATTATTATTATTACAACATACTAATTATACAAATTAATGGGATTGTAACCAGGGATGAGTTGAGGAGGAGGTCTTTTGACTCATTACCCAGTTTTGAGTTTTGTGATTTTTTTCTTTTTTTCTGGTGGTACTGGGTGTTGAACTCAGGGCTGTGCACTTCCTAGGCACCACTTATGCCACTCTGCCAACCCCATTACTTGGTTTTTATGGTTCTTAAATATATTGATAAAAAGAATTTCAGGACAATTCACAAAGTAGAAAGTAGATAAAGATTTTATAAGGCAAGTAACAACAAAGTAGTGAAAAGCAGAAAAAGGAGTATGCACTCCACGAGCTTGAAGTATGGGTAAAGGGGAGTAATTTGTGATTCTTCCATTGGGGACTATTTGTATTCGTAAAAGTAGGTTAGGGGAATCTCACTTCAATTTTTCAATTCTCGACAAGTGATTTCTTTATATTAGGCACCTGATAATATTCAATAATGTTGTTGCAATGTTTTGCATTATCACTGGGTCTAGGATGATCTTACCAATCAAAGGATCTTGTGATATGGGTGCCCATTTTTCTTTTCTTTTCTTTTTTTTTTTTGGTGGTACTGGCGTTTAAACTCAGACCTCATGCTTGCTAGGCAGGCACTCTACCACTTGATCCGCTCTGCCAGTCCTGTTTTGTATTGTGTATTTTCGAGAAAGGATTTCTTGAACTATTTGCCCAGGATTAGCTTCAAACTGTGATCCTCCTGATCTCTGCCTCCCGAGTAGGAGTAGTAGGATTTTAGGCATGAGCCAACAGTGCCCAGCTGGGTACCTATTTATGGTAACTTTTTTTTTTTTTGGTGGTTCTGGGGTTTGAACTCAGGGACTTGGGCTTGGTAGGCAGGTACTGTAACTTGAGTCATGCCCCCAGTCATTTTTTGCTTTGTTATTTTTAAATAGGACTGCAGTCCTCCTACTTATGTCTCCTGTGACTGGGATTACAGGTAGCCCAGCTTTCTTGGTGGAGGTAGGGTCTTGCAAACTTTTTGCCTGGGGTGGTCTTGAATCTCATCAATCTCTGCATCCATCTGGAGTAGCTGGGATTACAGACATGAGCTCCCCAAGCCTGGCTTATGTCTTGTAATTTTTTTTTTGAGGTACTGCTTCCTTCCTTCCCTCTTTCCCTCCCTCGCTTCCTCCCTCCCTCCCTTCCTTCTGCTGTGGTTTACTTGGTGGGTGGTCTACTGCTTGAGCCATGACATTAGCCCTTGTGTCCTTTTCTTAAAGATTATTTAGTACAATGTCTAATTTTAACTATGCAGTCCTAACACTGTTTTTGCAATTTTAGCTCTTGTTTCTGCTTTCTTCAATTCTCATGTAACCTATGCTAGCCTGCCTCAGGTTTCGCTGTGATGTTTCCATACATGCATACAGTGTATGCATCTTGTGTTGATCATGTCCATTTACCCTTTTTGTATTCTCTCATTCTCCTTCTTTGTCTCTTCCCAGTCCATAATAATTCCTCTTCTACTTTGCAGGTCCTCTTTTTTTTTAAATTTCTCCATATAAGAAAACACATGTAGTACTTATTTTGTTTAGTATGGTTCCATCCTATTTCCTGCAAATAACAAAATCTCATTCTTGTTTATGCTAGATAATACTCCATTGTGTATCATATTTTCTTTATGCATTCATTTGTTGACAGGAATGTAGGCTGACTCCATATCGTATTGTGAATAGTGCTGCCAAATGTTATTTTAAGCAACTGAAGGAACCACTAAGTCAATACTTTTGGTGAGAAGGAAAGAGAATTAACTGATAAACTGAATTCATGTGTGACCTATGGGTTTATTATTGTTATTATTATTTGGTGGGATTGGGGTTTGAACTCAGGGTTTTATGCTTGGAAAGCAGGAGGTCTACCACTTGAACCACACATTTATGTGTGGGTTTATTTATATTTCTTGAAATACCTAGTTTTCCTGGCTTTGCTTTTATTTAAAGATTAGCTTTTCCACATGGTGTGGTATCCAAGACACAGCCTAAAAATAGCTTCCATTTTAAACTTTGTGATTAATAGTGTATTTTGACTTCTGAAAGGTGATTTGATTTTAGTACCTAGAACCGGAAATAACGTTGTTTTTCAGAAACATGTTCAATAATGAAAAAAAAAGAATTATCAACATTTTAATAGTCTTAGCAGTACTTTTAAAAAAAAAACTTTAAAGCAATCTTTTGCCAGGCACTGATGGCTCACACCTGTAATCCTAGCTACTCAGGAGGCAGAGATCAGGAGGATAACGGTGTGAAGCCAGCCCAGGCAAATAGTTCATGAGACCCTATCTTGAAAAAACCCTTTACAAAAAAGAGCTGGTAGAGTGGATTAAGGTGTAGGCTGAGTTCAAGCCCAGTACCAAAGAAAATTTTTTTTTTCAAATTTTAATTCCTTTTTTTAAAAAAGAAAAACTCTTGCCAGGCTCTGGTGGTTCAAGCCTGTAATCCTAGCTACTCAGGAGGCAGAGATCAGGAGAATGGCAGTTTGAAGCCATCCTGGGTCAGTAGTTCATGCGACCCTATCTCGAAAAAACCCAACATGCAAAAGGACTGGCAGAATGGCTCAAGTAGTAGAGCACCTGTCTAGCAAGCATGAGGCCCTGAGTTAAAACCCCAGTACTACAACAACAACAACAAAAAACCCCAAAAAACAAAAACCAAACTCTTGGCCCCCCACCCACAGGTGCTCTCTTACCATATGATGCAATGCCTGCACGTTATGACGCCAGAAGGCATTCTGTCAGATATGTCCCTTCCATCTTGACCGTCTTAGACTCTAGAAAAACTAAAAAGAAAACCTTTTTTTGTTTGTTTTTGAGATATGGTCTCCCTATGCAGGTCAGGCTGGTATGAAACTGGAGATCCTCTTGCCCCAGTCTCCCGAGTGCTGGTATTACAGGCATGGGCCTTATATTTCCTCTTCTATAAGTAAAATTAGGTGGAATATTTACTATAAAAACAAAACAAAGTAGCGGAGCTATTGATTTATAACGGATGGAGTAAGCCTGTTCACGTGACTTTTGCGAAACTACATGTGATTTAAATAATGTAGTTTCTTTTTTCCTTTTTGCTGGTACTGGGGCTTGAACGTGGGGCCTACACCTTGAGCTACTCCACCAGCCCATTATCTTAGTAGGTTTTTTCAGGATAGGGTCACCTGAACTACTTACCCAGGCTGGCTCTGAACCGCGATCCTCCTGTTCTCTGCCTTCTGAGTAGCTAGGATTACAGGCGTGAGCCACTGACGCCGGCCTTAAAAATGCACCGTCAGTAAGTTTGTTGGGTTCCCTTCATGGGAGAATAACTGGGAAAGGGTGTGGCACTGGCAACCACATCTGCACCGTGGCCGGCAGCTCGCACCTTTTCCGGTCCTGCCTTTTCACTGCGGAATGGAAGTGCCTGAACACTTCAGTGCACACGTTTGTGCTGAAAGATGACGGCACTGCCCCCTCCCTGAGCCCAGCAATGTTTTGGGGAAAGAAGGAAGAGGCAACATAGGGAAAACACTCTGCAGGTGTCTTAGGAAGGGGTGAGCTAAGTCGGGTCGGGCGGCCTCTTGTTCCCACGAGGCCGGGTCCCCTGCTGGGGAGAACTGGCTAGCCGGGCACTGGCGGTTCTTCCATCGTAACCCTACAATCCTTTTAGGCCTACGGGGACTTTTCTCAAAGCCGGGGGCTGAAGTATGGGGAAATGCCTCGTGAAATGTTAGGCATCCCCCTTATCGTAGTTATCGGAGCGTAGTACAAATATTTCTTCAGCGCATTGGCAGACAAATTCTGATTCGCTCAAGGCATGTTTTCATTTAGAATAGGTGCAACATTCTTCCCTCCGGTCCTTTAACCTTTTATTAGGTAACGTTCCATTTGTTAAAACGCGGAGACGGCAGTTTCACTGTACCGCTTTTTGGGATTTGTAGTTTCCGTCAGTTTCCCAGGGTAGTTTCCGCTTTTTGATCACGTGGCTGGGGTAAACGGGCCACACCTTCCCACCACGACTCCTTCCCAGTCCGCAGACCGACACGTCACTCCTCGACCTTCAACCAAACTGCTCGGAGCACGTTCTTTCCGCGCTCTTCGCTCTCACGCATCGGCCTATGGCAGCTCGGTGTGAGCATGTAGTCCCGCCTTCAGGCTGCTAAGTGATACCTGCAGCGACCAGTTAGGAAGTGAGAATGCGGCTTGGTCCACGCCTCTGGGTCTGACAAACAGTACCGTAATCCTATCGCTCTCTCAAAGCTTGGTATTGGCCCAGAGCCAACCAATGAAGAGCGGTCCGGGAGGTGGCCCTGGCCGTTGACAGGGTTGGGTGCGCCTCTGAACCGATGGCGGAGGGAGCGGAGCGGATTCTTGAGGAACGCCCGCCAGGTGACTAGGCCGTGAGATATGATTTTAAAATTAGTGAAAGGTGCATTTCAGTGTGTTGGAGGGCCTGATCATAGTGTAGGAGGCAGGACTGTAAAAGACTGGGGAGCAGAGCTTAGGGCCTTGCAGAGGAAGGGGCGTGGGGTGTGGTGTGGGAGCCTCCTGCAGTGGAAGGATGTATTGGTCTGGGGAAGGGGGCTAAAGATGGTCGTGGGAATGCGGATTGCGCTTAGGCCACAAGGCGCGGGAAAAGAAAGACTGGAACCTGGGACCGATTTGGAGCGGAAACGCGTAGGGTGCTGAGGTGGTGGTGGTGGTGCTGAGGTGGTGGTGGTGGTGGTGGTGGTGGGGTCCCGCGGCCGGTGAGGTCAGAAGCTCTGAGAAGGTGGGAAGGAGAGGGAGGTGGGGACCTGCAGGAGAGCCGAAGGGAGGAGGGGTGTGAAGTAGCACGAGAGGATGTGGGAAGGTGTAGGAAAAAGGGGCTGGGGAGGTTGCAGTCTTGGAAACTAGAGCTACGATGGGAGAGGATGGCGTAGATTCTGTGCTTTAAGAAAAGTGTCTTGGCCCTTTTGCTTTGGCCGTGTGCAAAAATGACCAGCGAGCACGGTTGAAAACTTTTACGATCCGGCCTTAAATTACCGTCGCCTTTACTCAGTTTTCAAGTCCAGGTCCTAGCACTCTCTCATTTCCTCTGCTTACTCTTCAGGTGCGTGGATCACATCGATTTAGTGTTGTTAAATTGTTTCTGTCTCAGCCATTCCAAAACACAAGAGAGGACTGGCTTGTTGACTTTCTGGAGTTAGGTATTTGGATGCAAGATAAGGCTTCTCTTTGGGATTATGATTAAACACACACACACACACAAAACTGCTCTTCTGGGACAGTTAATTAGAGAAAAGATATTTGACTTCTCGGTGTGGGATTAGGAATGTATTGTCTTCATGCCTTCCACCTAGTCCAGTGTTACTTTATTTCCTCCTTCCAGTAAGAGTGGGAAAAAGATCAGCACAAGTTCCTTTTTTATTTCCCTGCATAGTTTTAAACAACGTTACATATCCCTTGTTATTATGTTCTTCTTCACTTAGTCCTTGGCCAGCTTGTAGTTTAGGAAGGTAGCATTACCTGACTCAGAAATAGCTAACCTGCTATGATCAATTAGTGCTACATAATGCTTATCCATCAAGTGATTACCATTATGAACTATCTACAGAATGCTTCCCTGACTTTTTTTTTTTTTTGCTCCAGTAGGAAAAAATTATTTTCTTTTCCTTCTAGATTATCATGTGGTACCATGAACTGTCTCTGTGTCATGGAATCAGTGGATTAAATGAGCAGGGTTGGTTACCGATGCCTAGATGATTGAAAGTACTGTGGTCTGTGTATGTGAATCTTCCCTCTTGAGAGCATGATTACACCTGAATCAGTGATCTGTCATTCTCTTTAGTTGATCATACAGCACCATTGGGATGTGGAACAGAAACAAGCCTGTAGCCAGTCCATTGAAGCTTAAATTTAGGGCTCGAAATTGTGCCGATTCAGTTATGAGTTCTATTTTTCCTCTTTCTACTTTCAGTTCTGTATTTAATGTTCATTCCCTGCTTTTTTCATCCTTCTGCCTCTCCCTGAATGCTTTCTTCATTATTTTTTCCTGTTTCCCATGTTTCCTGTTTAATTCTACATTTCTTCCCTCCACCCATTTTTTTCTACTTTTATGCTTTATTCCTGTTGAACCATACTATTGCCATTTGTGCTTATGTACTTGATAGCTGTGAGTGGAAACAGAAATTTTTTGTGGGAATGGGGATTGAACCCAGGTCTCTTGTATGGTATGCAAACAGTCTACTGCTGAGCTACATAGCTAGCCTTTTTGTAAAATTCTATTTTGAGACAGGGTCTCATTAAATTGGTCAGGCCAGCCTAGAACTTGGGATGCTTCTGACTCAGCCTTGGAATAGCTAGGACTACAGGTGTGCTGGGTGGTATATTTTGATTACTCTTTTTTAGTCTTGACACATAGACCTGATTGTATTTGCTTCCTTGCTTTACTTTGGTTAAAAGTTGGATATTGGTATTAGCCCTAACTGCCTCTGGTGTTCTCACTAGCTTGTATGTTCTTTATGGTTATTTCCCATCAAAAAAAAATTGAAGTTAATTTAAGAAAATTGAAGTTCTTCAATGTCTTATGGTCTTGACTTTTCTGTTTTAGTTATTTGAATATCATCTGTTGCCACCCACTGATGTCAAGATGACTAAGCTTGGATTTTTGCGGTTGTCCTACGAGAAGCAGGACACACTTCTGAAGCTTCTCATTCTGTCAATGGCTGCTGTGTTATGTGAGTGTGCACATGGGTCTCTGGGGATGGAAAGAAGAAAATCTTGAAAAAAATTGAAAATGGCTTTCTTAAGATGCCTCATTTTAGCAGATTGTTTTTTGTTCTTTTTACCATTTCTCATCCATGTAATTTTATGAAGGCAAAAGAAACACAAGAGATATACAGGACCAGTGATCATCTGAGAAAAAATGGGAAGCATGCTATACTAATTACTGTTTTCTTACAGGGCTGAAAGAGAAAATGGGGATCATTGGATACTGAATTTTTTAAAGGATAATTGTCTTCAACTTAGGTGCCTACCTTAGTGGACTTTTTTCTTTGGTGGGACTGCAGGTGCTCTACCACTTGAGCCACACTTCCAATCCATTTTGCTGTGGTTATTTTGGAAATGGGTTCTCAACGCTATTTGTCCCGGCTGGCTTTGAGCCTCAATTCTCCCAGTGTCAGCCTCCCAGGTAGCTAGAATTACAAGCGTGAGCCACCTATGCATAGCTCCTTAGTGGACTTTTTTGTTTGGTTTCTTTTTTTTTTTGACTCAGATTCTTGCTATGTAGCCCAGACCCACTTCTAACTTGTAATCCTCCTGCCTCAACTTGAGGACTGGGATTACAAACATGTGCCACCATGCCTGGTTTACCTTAATATTTTTGAAAATCTGTTGAGAATTTCTTTGTTAGATTTTCTAGCTCTTCATGGGTCATAAGTGTAGTCTTGCTTGACATACCTCCTAGATTGCTCCAAGGTTATGCTTAGTTGTTTGTATGTGTGTGTGTGGTCAGCATGTATAAAAGATGACCTACATTCAATATTTTTATATATATATATATATATATATATATATATATATATATTTGCAGTACTGGGGTTTGAACTCAAGGCCTACACCTTGAGCCACTCTACCAGCTTTTTGTTGTGATGGGTTTTTTGGGGTAGAGTCTCACGAACTATTTGTTTAGGCTGGCTTTGAACTGAGATCCTCCTGATCTCTGTCTCCTGAGTTGCTAGGATTATAGGCGTGAGCCACTGGCTCCTAGCGTACATTCAGTATTAGTAAATGAATGTTGTGTTTTAGGCTTTGAATAATAAAATAAGTAGTTAAATGTGTTGTACCTAAGTTGGAAATGTAGATGCCATTGTCAGGCTTATTTTGTTTCTTCTACATGGTGAGAGATGGTTAAAGACTTTATTCAAGGGTTATTTTGTATTTCCTATGATCCCGATTCTGAATAATTTCTTTTTTTCTATAATGCTACTATTCTTATTTTCTATTGTTCTTTCATGGCACATTACCACTGAAATATTCATTCTCTGGTTTTTGCAGCTTTCTCCACTCGTCTCTTTGCTGTTCTGAGATTTGAAAGTGTTATCCATGAGTTTGATCCGTGAGTACCTTTCCTTAGTCTGGTGTTAACTTCCTTTGGGAGGCATCCAAGTTCATGGGTTTCAGATTCAGATTCCAATTAGTCCTCAGTGATGGGGATGTGTTTTCAGAA